TGAGCTCTCATTCTCATCAAAAAGCTTTTCAGTCAAAGAGATTTTGAATTAGAATTTTAAGTTTCAAATCATTATATAAATGTTTATTTCACTTCTAAGAGCTGTATATTTATTTTGGCCTCAATTTCGCATTTTTCAGGTTTTCATTATGATTACAAATATTGATTATATATATAATGCTGTGATTTATGAAGTGTTCCTCTCTTTCAAATCAAATTTAACGTAATATTGATATTAATATTTTTATTGTGCAATAATTTATTGCAATCTTTTTCTCGTTATATTATATATAAGTAACGGATCACTCGAATCGGTGGCGGAATTACAATAAAATTTTAAAATTTATTATATATTTGTTTAATAATTAAAATTTTGTCATTAAGAATAAAATGAGCATTTGTTTACAAACTATACAAGCATATTCCTATTCATTAGTCATTAGTGGTTCACTTATTCATCAATTTATTCATCAGGATGTGACGAATCGTGATACAGTTGCTTCAGATATTCCTCCTTTTGGTTGTCCATCAGGTACTTCTGAAGGTAAGTACACGACACTATCATTTGCAGGTTGTTCCGAACCACGTAATCAAACGCTTCCTGTCATACACACAATGTGTCACACGTTTTGATTATTGCTTACAATTGATTGACGGGACAGGTATCATATGGTGGTCATCACTATCAATGTGAGTTACTTGACAAGGATTGGTGTCAATAGGGAGTAGGGGTAGACGGGGTACTGTACTGTACAATACGATCATATAGTATAGCATACCTTGGCCAGTATTGCGCCGATTCCTTTGCCTCTCAGCGTTTTAGGCACTCCTATGTATCAATCAAATCAACAATTAATTACCAATGATATCAACACCAGAGGAATGTATGTATGGATACCGGTGTGATGTAGTTCGAGAAGCCCTCCTTTAATTTCCTTGTAATCCAGGACAGCTTTGTCTGCGGACACAACACACCAATTACAATGAGACCAGACATGTATGTCCACCGATGCCTACCTTTGCCCATCTGTATGAAGAACTGTCTGTTGAGATGGTTGTGCTCTACCTTCAAGTCATTCACTGAACTGAACGCAAAGGAACTCATTCTCCAGATAGGGATCACTCTTTGGCCACTCCACACACCACTCCCATAACACACCCTTTGGCTCTCAAATCGGACTAAATTGGCGGTCAATCTGCGGATCAGTGATAGAGACATCACTTCAATGGACTCACTATTTGGACACAATTGGAGTGAAGAGTTGATGAAGGAATCAAGTGATGTTTGTGTTGACAGTCCGGCATTCATTCACGTGATGTACGGTTCAGTCAATACGTGCCATACGTTCATCAATTCATTGATGTCTAAAGTTTCTAAACCCCTTAAACTGCAACTTATGATACATTTTGTCACTTTTGTATCACTAACTGATCATAACTTATAATTGATCTCATTTTTTATATTCAGACAATATATTAATTGAAATTATAATTTACAGCATCTGTATACTGTACTAATTTAAATGCATTTAAAATGTTTTTTCAATAACTTATTTTTATATCAGATAAATGAGGAAAGGGAGTAGAAATCATTGAAAAGAGAAACCGTATTAAAAACAGGCGCCGGGATACGAACCCGGGTCTCCAGATTACATGTCTGGTGTCTTAACCACTAGACAATACAATTATCTTAATTGATCTTAATTTAAATACAATTTTTAAAACAAAAATTATAAAGTTTAGTCATATTCTGTTTTATTAGTTAGTTAATCCAGTACCCTTACAATTGTTTATTTATTAGGCGTTTTTAGATACCATGCCTAAATTATAAGTTTGAAATAGCGTTAGTGTCAAACTATTAATATTAAATTAAAAATATTTTAATGATAAACAAATTAAATATAAATTAGTAATAAATTTGCTGGAAGGTTAAACACCAGTTTATCCCAATGTTAATGTTTGACAAAATTCATGATTCTTGACAATTTAAAAAAGTTATATTATTATGCTATATTTTTTTAAGTAAGATGATTAATAATTTATACTCAAGACTGTTTTTAAAATGAAATTATATATAAAACTAGACAATCATAAGGGGTTCTCAAAAAATACAGCGATTGTGAGCAATGGATGTCTGAAATGGTGATCGACTATACTCTGTAGTAATGGTTATTCCCGTGTTTTCATCATAAACTCTATCTTATCCTTGATTTTCTTCATTTCGTTTTTATTTCCTTTTAATAGATTTATATTGAAAGCGTGCATAAAATGCATTTTCACTCAAATCTTATTCTGTTTCTTCATTTTTTT